ATGGGGAGATCAGATTTTCCTGCCTTTGTCCAGCTTCCTTGTACTTCACTATGCCCATCGGCAGATGGCTTTTCTAGGACTTTCTTGTATTTCTTGTCACCTTCAATTTGTATTAACTGTGGGTCCCTTCTAAATCAATAGTCCATTGCAGATTTTGCAAAATCTTCTCAGATGCCTGGTACCACCCTCATAGAGAAGTGTTCATGTCTGTGTGACTCACAGGCATTTTAGGCACCATTTTTTATTTTGAACCTGAAATGTGCTCATGGGATGAAGAAATTAGGCTAACAATAGGAGACCTGGTTTGTCTGGTTCTGTCATTAAGCCTATTTTTATCAGCCATTATACAAAAGGAGAGCCTTTATTTTACTGTTAAAATAAAGGTGTAGTTTGGGATGGGATAATTTCTAAAGGGAAGCACAATATAGGGAAGTGAATAAGTCAGTAGAATCCAAGCTATTTAATATTCATAATGTCTGAGAGGTATTTTCTCATTTTGACTTTTGCAGTGTCTGTAAAGAAGCAAATTCTAAACTTTGGAATAAGTAGCTAAATGTGCCAATAAATCACCTGGCAACTTTCAGAACTTTTGTTGAGATTGCTCAGCTACAAATAGCATTTCCATTGAGAAAAGAAATTTCATAATTATTTTTTTTCATTCTCTACTCTTTAGAAGTTTTGCTCCATCTCTACTTTTAGCTTTTACATTGCACCAGGATTTATTTTTCAGCAATTCGTGTCTTCCCTACAAAAACTTTGTAATTTACCTTTCTCATAGGTAGCCTTGAATGTTCTTCTTGTGACTACACTCTCAATGTTGAAGTTTCTTTTCTGTTTGTGACTTTTGACAAATTAGTGAATAGGGGAAAAGGTCCCTGCTGGCAAAATGGGGTGGGGGTGGGGAGAAGTAGAATAAAAGAATTTCATATTAGTGGCAGAAATTAAATGTTTGATGAACAAACAAAAAAAATTCAAGATCCTCCTAGAAATGAGAGGAACATAAGTATTCTGTTGGTAATGAAAAGGTAAAAAAGTACAATAACTGAGTTATTTTCAATTAAATAAAAGTGAATCTGCAGAAAGTCTTCTAAGCTTAATTTTCATTAGGACGATGATACAGCAATTTTAATTTGTAAGTTTCCTAAATAAACTTGATTTTCTTTGACTTATTTGTCACTAAGCCTTATTCATGCTGCTTATGTTAAACTTTTTTAATGTTATGTCATGTGACATTATATGTTTTATTCATAGAAACAATGTAGAATGATGATTGTCAGGTAGGGGAAGAGGGAAATGGCATTTTTCTTCAGTGGGTAAATTTCACAAATGAACTTTATCCCCACTTTCTCCAAAGTTCTAAGCTACAGAAAGTGCAGAAGCGATTATGATGAGCATTCACAGATCCTTTACTGAGAGTTACCAGTGGCTAATGTTACCATATTTGTTTTCTCTCTCCCAAAGGCACATGGGGACAAGTGTGCACTCACACAGCTATTTATTTTCTTTCGCTGATCCATTTGAAAATAAGGTCAGGACATTATAACTTTTTTTTTTAAAGATTTATTTATTTATTCGTACAGAACTGGGGTACAGGCCAGAGATGCAGAGGGTGAGAGGATTCACCAGAGACAGAGTGGGGTACAGAACAGGCGGATGACGAAGTACACTGCTGAAGGGAGCAGCGGGTGGATCAGGAGAGGTCTGCCTGGCCATGTGTTCTCCTCCGGGGCAGGCGGGATCGAACTCATGCGGAAGTGGCTTAAGCTTCTTTGTGCTGCGCTTTAACCCGCTGCGCCACCAGGGAGGGGCCAGACCATTATAACTTTTACCCTAAATACTTCAACATGTGTCATTTAAAAACTAGGCATTCTCCTGCATAGCCACGGTATAATATTATATCCAGGAATTTAATACTGATTTCTAAAAATCAATCTACACCCAAACGTCTGTCCATGCTTCCAAAATGCCCTTTGGAGCTTTCTATCTTTGATCCAGGATTCAAGTAAGACTCACACACTGCATTTGTTTATCATATCTCTTGCCTTCTTTAAAGTATCTCTATTGTCTTTTTCTTTTTATACAAAACATCAACATTTTTAATTCTGGATCAACTGCTGTGAGACCAAGTTCTCACAGTGTGATTTCATCTGTTTCCTCCTGATTGAATTAATGGTTGTGCTGTTGCCTGCCTCCCACTGCCTCGTAGTAGGAGGCAAATAATGTCACTTTGTCTATTATTAGTGATGGTAAGTCAGATCACTGCTTTAAAAAAAAAAAAAAAGATTTATACAGAACTGGGGTACAGGCCAGAGGCTCAGGGGCAGTGAGAGGCTTCACCAGAGACAGAGTGGGGAGCAGAACAGACAGATCGACGAAGTACACTGCTGAGGGGAGCAGCGGGCGGGTCAGGAGAGGTCTGCTGCGCCATGTGGGTCACCTCTGGGGCCGGGGATCCAAAGTTGACTGAAGCGGTTGCGGCTAGCTTGCAGTGCTGCGCTTTAACCCACTGAGCCACCAGGGAGAGCCCAGATCACTCTTAAGATGTTGTCCAAAAAATGCCATTGTATATGTTCCATATTTGCAGTCTTTGATGATTGTTAAAAAGTTGAAGAAAGCCCTAGTAGTCTATGTATTTAAGTTATTTTTAATGGTAGAACACATAGATCTAAGCCAGGGGTGCTTCTTCTTTTTAAGTTTTATTTATTTAGCACACAAGAACTGGGGTATAGGCCAGTGGTGTGGGGGGTAGAGGGGGAAAGTAGTCATCAGAGACAAGAGTGCGGAGTAGAACAGGTGGATCTACCGAAATACACTGCTGAGGGGAGCTGTGGTCAGGGGACAGGGAGAGTTCTACCACCATGTGGGTCAGTTCCCTGGACAGGTATTGCACTCATGTGCAGTGGCCACGGACAGCTTCATAGTGCTGTGCATTGGCCCACTGCGCCACCAGGGAGGGCCCAGTCAGTGGTGCTTCTTAAAAATGCAGATCTCTTGGCCACTCCCAAAGCATTGAATTCAAAACTCTGAGAATGAGGCTGAGTCAGTGTCCTTAAAATAATTACCCTCAGCTGATACTTATACTTGAAATTCAAACAATATTGACATAAGCTGCATCATCGAGATACATCAACTCTGAGCTGCTTGGGAAGTGAGAGTCTGGGGAAATAAGCCCTTTTGCCAACAACTCTATGGCTTCTTTTGTCAGTAAGCTTCTTAAATATTCAATTTATATAACATATCTGAGTGAGAATTTAAAGATGCTTGGAGACTTTGAAAAATAATATGCTGATTTAATAAGCTAAGAAAGAAAGCTTAGAACAAAGCTTGAATACATATGATAATTCAGGGCCAACTCAGTGAATGATAGTTATTCTTCTAACTCCTCAAATATATTTTCCACTATTTAAAGTAAAATCAAAGTATAGCTTTTGCTGACTTAATGTTTTGCAACCATTGAGCCATTATAAATAATCCTATGTCTATTTTAATGATCTAATTTAAAACACTGACCAATTAAGAAATTCAAAGTTTGGTATTTATAGGTCATATGAAAACAACCCCCCCACCTCTGTCACCCCTTCCCAAACATCTGAAAACTATAATTTATGTGAAACATAGCTAGCCACTTTAAGTAACTGGTAAAAACAGGCTACCTGTTCCCAAAGATGGTTGCTGTCAACTCTGGCTGCACAATAAATTGTTTGCAGAAACTGAGAAACATGACCTATACCAACATTCTACCATAAGCCAACTAGATTGGCTTTCTGGAGGGAGTACCAGGCATATCTAGACTTTTTTAATTCCCCAGGTGACTGCTATGCTAGAGCTAGAATCTACTGTTCTAGGAACTTCCGGGGCAATGCAATCTCTGACTTAAAACTGAAGTTCAGGTAAGGATGATAATCAAGAAGAAATGGCTTGAAATCAATGCAATTCCATTTACTTATAGAATACTCTTTTTAATTAAGCCAGATTAGTAGAAAGACATCGTACATTAGGATAGAATTGGAATGCCCAGCAGAATTTTACTGAGCTTCTGATTTTTTAATGGCATCTGCTTATATGAGACATATAATGCCACATGCTTGTTAAGGGAACAGACCTGAAAACTGTGTTTACTCTGTGGGAATTGTTGAAGACTTTAATTACACAACGTAGTGTTATCTTTCAGAAGATACTTGAGTGCAAATTTTCTGGCCTTATGAACTCTGAATATTTAATGGACTAATGAATTATATAGTTAATCAAGTTTTATTTAATGAGCTTGCTAGAAAGTTTGAAGCCAAATGTTCTCTCCATGAACAGGTGTAAATGGAAATATTCCTGTATTCATTTTTCTGTGTTTACTGTTGTTTCCCTTTTTCATTCACACCTCCTTACAATGTATCATTTTGATTTTTTTTTTGCAGTCATGAAGTCATTATAAACCTATTCAGGAACAAGATTGGATGTACATAACATTAAAAAGTGTAGTTAATGGAGCTGATGATCATTTATTGCACCAGGAAAGATGGATTTAGTTAGTCCAAGTCAACTAATTTCCTCAATGTAAGAAATTCAAATTAGCATCAACCAGTAAAATATATCTTGGACACTGAACTATTTCTGATATTAAAATAAAAATTTATAAGGTCCAGTGAACAGGCATACATACGTAGGATAGTGTTGTTGCGATCTTACATATAAATATCTATCAACAATTCAGTGAAAGGTAGATTAGGGAAATGTATTCTTTACTAATGAATAGTATCATTGGAGTTAAAAAAAGGAGAAGTTTCTATAATACTTTAGAAGAATACCCAAAGTAAGCTTCAATAAGATTGTGAGATGAATTTTTGGGGCATGATAAACCTTTTAACCAGGTCCTCTTTGGTATCAATTATAAGATGAAAAATATCTAGGTTAAGTTAGCTTGTTTTAAATAACATAGCTGGAAGACATTCTGGAAGAGTTTTTTTTTTTTTTTTAGTTCTCTGCATCCTTCATTGTTTTTGTGATCAGTCAATTAAACTTCTAATACACCAACTACTAAGATGTCAGAATAGTGAGTAGACATTTTGAAGGGTTCCAGAGCCTAGTAATTATCCCAAGGAAAATTAGCAGGTTCTTATTAATTGCATTGATGGATTATGAAAAAGGGATTTTAAAAGCAATTTGTAGTCAATGTTAGAGATGAACAGTCCTATAAATACCTAGGAATTTAAATAAATTTTTCTTTAAAAAATCTATTAGTAGGAAGCTACACTGAATGATTCGTTTGCATATGTAATTTGAGACACAGTTTTTCTCTTAGCTGTGATCACCTTTTATTAAAGTATTTGCTTCTACTTGATATACAGGCAAAAACTCTGATTTTAAAAAAGAACCGGTTTTACATATGTATGTAAACTGGTAGGCTATTTTTAAAACTTATTTCATCAGCTACATAACAAGATATCTTTGTCATTTTAATACAACACATCACATTTTTTTTGGTTGAAGACATTGAGTAGGTTCACTGCATCTGTGATTTGTGGAATTACAAAAGTTGTATACAAAACCCTGCAAATATGTAAAAATTGCAAAATACACTCTGACAGCTAATGCTCTGAAAACACTTTATTACACAAATTACATTCAGATTCTGAAAATAGTGTTCTAACAGTGTAACCATCTAAAAATAAGACATCCCAAAACACACCAACTGAAGAAGAAAATAAAAAAAAAGAATTTAAATAGATTTTCCCCCTCATTGCAATATAATGTTAGTGATTCTAAAAAAATAGAAGGAGATTTAGCAGCTTTGTCGTCATGTAGCACAAAGTTTCTCTTTACTGCCACAGGCTGAGAATGCTGAACAGGAAAGGCACCAAAGAAAGACACTGGCAATGAAGTGCTACTGGCAAAATACTGTGTCCAAGCAGAGAAGAGGTTTATTTACATCTACAGAAAAGTCTCAAAAATGTCAGTGAGCAAGCTTCCATCTTTAAATTAGTAGTGTGATGGAAGAGGACTGCTTTCTAGCCTATGTTCATAGAAAGACAATGGCACTGTTATGAAATTTTAGGAAACTCCTTAACTAGAAACAGAAGTCAACTAAAGCAAAACCAAAGTAAAATGTGTACCGTCCTACAGAGACTGGTACGTTTACAATTAAATACACAAAACTTGAAACGTGCTCAAAGAAAAGGAACCTGGCATTCTCGGTAATGCTCCTTGACCTAGGTCAAAGCCTGGTTTTCAGGAGGAGGAAGGCGAACGCAGGGGCAGAGGTGCCGAATACTCCTCTTCAGATTCACTCCCGTCATCCTCTTCTTTCTCTTGGTCACTTCCCTCCGTGCTGAGGCGGTCAAACCCTTTTCGGCTGTAGCCTTTACGGCTTGCAAAGAAGTTTCCCAGGTTTAAGCCTCTTGTTCCCTTTCCTGAAGAAATCAACGACACAGGATTTTGGTTAAAGTTTGCACAAAAGTTCCCAGTTTCCTTGGGCATTCTTAAAATGTAAACAGAGTCAGCAGTCGGGGAGCAGAAAGGGCAGATGTTATTTTTAAAAGGCAGATGGGGTGCTTTCTGACCACAGAGCAAGAAAGAGATCACTCCATGGATATATTAAAATAAATAAGGAAAAAACAAAACTTGTGGGATCATTTTATTCACTTTTCACCTCCTGCTTTTTCTAGAATTGGCATCCTTTGAACAGCTCATTTCTGTGAGTTTATAAAAAGGTCATCTCTTCACTAAGACAAGCACTGACATGCCAACAGACGAACAGAAAATTTCCTGAAGCCGGATAAAAGGCAGGCGGAGCGAATGAGGTAATACAGAATTGTGAGGCAGAAGCAAATGAAACTGGGCAATGTGTTGCCACAGCTGCACAGATTGGGTTAGCCTGGTTTGCATTCTGCATTTAATGCTGGGATGATACTATGCTGCAGATAAGGAGTTAAATTTCAGAGAAAATAAGAGAAATGTCTTCTTTCTCTTTATTTTTAAAAAAGATGTATTTATGCATACAAGAACTGAGGTACAGGCCAGTGATGTGGGTGGGGGGAGGTCAGAGGATTCACCAGAGACAGAGTGGGGAGCAGAACAGACAGATGTACTGAAATGCACTGCTGAGGGGAGTAGCGGGCAGGTCAGGAGAGGCCTAACACACATGTGGGTCAGCTCCCTGGCTGGGGATAGAACTCATGCTACAGTGGCTGCAGACAGCTTCACAGTGCTGTGCTTTAACCTGTTGCGCCACCAGGGAGGGACCTCTCCCTGCTTTTTAAAAGACAGGAACTTGAGGACTCTGAACCAGATGTGGAGGATTCTGAAAGGTCACAGGCATACCTCTAAGTCTTCCCAGTACTCTTCCTGAACTTGCCTCGAGTTTGTGTTCAGAATCTGCTAGAAAAAGATGGCATATTTCAAAAGGAGTCCCAATCACTCTCCTCAATCCATGGGTTCAATTTTCAACATAAAACCAGGAATTCACAGCTTATTAACAAAGCCTATCTCTGGTCTGTATGCAGTTCTAAGGAAAAAATACCATGATGCATGTAAGGCCAGATGGAGTTTTGACTCCTGCCGGAGTCCTTTCCAGCCTGTGCAATTCGAAATATCACTTCTCTGAGCCTCATTTTTTATCCTCTGAGAAAAGAGGGATTGATAAAAATTCCTACCTTCTGTAAGGTCTAGATGGGAAGCTGAACATGATATGCCTGGTACCCTCACAGCAAATGCTCATATATATTAGTTGTTTTTATTAGGACAAAATTCCACTACAGATAACTTGTACAAATCTGGAAGCCTGGGTTATTAAGTTTAAAGCTATTGTCTTAGGCTTTTCTCTTTCTATTAAAACTAGTCCATTTTTGCTTAAGAAAGATGTGGATCCACACATATAGTTTCCTCTTTACATAACTAGTTGCACAGCAATGTATTTATGTATGTGACAGCAGAGGCCTGGAATCCCTGTGTATTATCTGTCACACAATGTGACTCAATTTCTCCCCAGTGGGATGCCCATCTCCAGGAAGGACTGGCCATCTGCTCACGTACGGGGAGGCACAACTCCTGATGGGCTTCATTTCTTTTGCTGTGTACCTCCTTGAAGTCATTGCCTTGTTTTTACCTCTCCTATAAGAGAAAACAAAGCTCAGGGTTCTCCAGTAATGTCTCTAACCAGGAGCAGAGACAGCATTATGGAGCAAACTAGCAGGCTGGTGCAGAGCAGAGACAGAAAACTGAACTGGGAGAGTGGGACAGGCAGTGCAGGGAGAGGAAAGCCAGCAGTTGGGTCCATGGAGGCTGCTGGATTAGTTCTTCGAAAGGGTTTTGCATCCAGCACCTCACACGGTGTCTGATTTGGAGTGGACATGCCAAAGGGCGTGCTGAGTAAATGGAAAGGCTTTTGTGAGGGTCACTAAATGCCCTCACATGAATGGATAAGATTTATCAAGAATAAATGCTGAAAAATGTGAAAGATTGATCTACTTTTAGAATTAAATACATTAGTCTAAAGTCTAAATGTGTTAGTCTATTTTTTCTGAATAAAACACAATCAAATAATGGCAATAACATATGGTTTGGCCTGGGTCAGTGCCTTCCCAACACACTCTTGCGAACTCAGCATTCTGTGACAAATGTCTGTCTTATGTGCTAAACAGCTTCACCAACCTTCTCGAGACTCCAGCCACTTCTTCTAATCTGGGTTAATGATCAACATCTCTGCTACCTGCCATGGGCCCCGCTGCCCCCGGCCTCTCTGTGTATTTATCGCTGCGCTTACTAATCTCTATCATACCTTTATGTGCATCTCTTTATAGTGTCACCTATTCTGTGAGCTCCATTTACTTACTTCAAACAACTATCTATTGAACCTTTAGTCCCAGGAACTGTTGTTTTTGCTAGAGAAACATCAGTAAACAAAACCAAGATTTTGTTCTTGAAGCTTCCCTCTCACTCCATGAACACAAGATGATGTTCACTTATCTTTGAGCCTGCTTCCCAAAGTCACATACCCCTCCCATACTTTTGCAATTTTTATTGACTACAGATGAAAAGTAAAACAAAAGTCCAAGAGCTTATTAATTTGAAACTTCTAGTTTTGCCACAGCATTGAACTGCTGCCACAGCTGTCATGGCCTGGAATAGGCCCAGATGCTGTCTCCCACCCTGGTCTCTGGATTCTTCCCTAGACAGAGCTATAGACTCTTGTCTGAAGACCTGGGGACGGAGCCAAGGGATTGCTCCTGGGAGGTGACACTCACGGGTCAGACTTTGTCTGGAAGTCCTGAAGGGAACTCAGCTCCTGTTTTTGTGCTATAGTGATGTGATAAAGGCTTACTTTTAGGATTGGACCCTATCAGTAAGGGTGATGATCTAAATAATGAAATAATGACTACTTAAAAACTACTGAATGGTTTATTATAGAAATACCTGGTTTCTTAAGAAAGCTAAGGTTACGTATTTTTTTATGGCTTTTCATGTTTTTTTTATTATTATTATTATTACTTTAGCATCAATAATTATCTTCAAAATCACTGGTTGTATTAATTGAGCACTTTAGCTACCAGTTACTAGGATAAACTGGTAATGGATGCTACTTTATTTATGAACAGTATTTCATTTAATCCTCATAGGACCCTGGAACTTATCGCCACTTTATAGATGAGGAAACTGTGGCTTAGAGAGATTAAGTAACTTGCCCAAGATCATATAGCTAGGAACTACAGCCAGGATTGGCTGGTGGGGGGTGGGGTGGGGGGTGGGGGTGGGATACATCTCCCAAATAGCTGACTCAGGTACTCTGAGGACTGGGCTTTTTCCTGAGAGGAAGAATCTCTTTCTCCTTCATGACCCTGTAGCTAATGTATATTTAAGTCAACAATGTACATTGTTTCATATGGAGATATTAATTGGGCTTAAATCAAATGCTAAAAGGCACTGCACTATTAAAGGTTATATTTTAATACAACTATCAAGCTTCTGAGGCTCCAGGTATATTTTCTCCTGTGATACTAACTACAGACAGAATTTAGAACATAGACAATAACGTCAAAAAAATAGAGAACACTTAAAAAAGCACTGAAAAAAATCACAACTGAACTCTGAGGATCATCAGGCCAAACACTCTTTCAAAGGCAATTTTCAAGTTCAAGGGGCTCATTTTACTTGCCTCCAAAGACCCTTGATTTTTTCCACCGAATAAATATGGCAATGGCCAGCAGGACAACCACCGGAATAACCAGAAGGGTTGTAATGAGAACAACGGGCACTCCCGAGCCTGGCTCTTTGATCAGTTTCTGTTTCTCTTGCATCTTCTGCAATTCTGAGGAGGCGGGTTTGGTATCCATTTTGGTTTCAACAACTGCCTCGGATTCTTCAGGGAAAGAAGAGTTCACAATATTCAACTGACTCAAAGATTCCAAAACCCTCCCACCCGCCCCTACCCATTCAAGTTAACAACTGCTCACAAAGTGCTTGTTGAGCCCACTGGACACAGCCCAGGTTCCCATAACTGACTGTGATCTAGCAAGTGAACAAGCGGGCAGAGGTGTGTGCGTGGGTTTTTACCTTTAAGTTGGTTTATTTTCGTACTAGCTTTTCCCCCTTCTTTTGCTAAAACTCTGTAAAAATTATATATTCCCTATTTACATCTTTTCAAAGTGAAAATTAGCAGGCAGCATGGTGTTAGAGAAGGAACTGACATGCATAAGAAAGTTCAGTGAATCTGAGCTCAAATCCTAGTTCTCTTTTAGAATTAGCTGTGGAACTTTGGGCAAGTTACTTAAATGATCCTGGCCTTAGTAACCTCATCTGTAAAACTGAAAATAAAACCTCCCTGCTTAAAACTGCTGAGTGTATTTATCAGAAAGGGTATTTGATTAGTGTTTATATCCTTCTGTCTTATAGTTTCTGGATCTTTTTCATGTAATTCTAGAATTGCAATGTGGAAAAAAGAACCATGTCCTATTCAGGTACAAGTTCTTTTTGTATTTCCCAGTAAACTGTAAGTATACATTGTATATACTCTTGTATCGATGAAAATAACTGATGCAATTATTCTATGATATGCAGGTATTGGTTAGATGTCAAGGCTAAATCTTGTTTGGAAAACTTATGTAATAAAACTATATAAGGTACTTCAAGGTGCTATGAGCTGAATATGAGTTTGAGCTCTGAGACATTTCTGCCCCTAAGAAACAGATGCATATATTTGTACAAACACCCTAGTGTGCAAAGTCTGGAAGTAGCAACGTATTTGCCAAAAAGCTCATAAATAGTTTCTGAAACACTAATTTCTTGTTGTGCCCTTCTGCCCTATGGTAGTGCATCATATGGCTTCTAGGAAATTTGACAAAATGGTAGGAAGAATTGGCTAACATGATCAGGAAAAACTTTGGTTAATGTTCAATATGTATAAATTCACATTTAGTAATTTACTGGATGTTTTTCCAGGGATACTTTTCTCAAATTACCTCAGACACTATAAACCCAATAAACCCAATTTATGATTAAAACAAATGGCAAACTCCAGATTTTTGCTTCAATATTCTGAGTAAATGTTCTTTACATTTTCATTTCTATTTACTGAGCACTTACAACATGTCAGGCATTGTTCTCATTTAATCCTCACACCAAGCCTATGAGGAGGCATTATTATTATCAACACTTTACAGATGGCTCTGAGTTCTCCTTTTCTTCCCTCTTTGTTAAGGGAGATAAGATTTCTCTTCTCTACTGGAGAGACTCTGGGAAGGGGTTGGTTCACAGATCAAGTTAGTTCAAATTCAGACTTTCTAAATTTCAGTGTCCATGGGGAATATAAGTGTGATACTTACTCTTCTTAACATTTTTTTCATTACCAATAGACAGGTACATATATTGTTTTATAGTTAAGCAAGAAAGTCTAAAAATAGATGGTAGGATTAAAAAATTTTAGGCCAAACATGTAACTTGGTTGTGTAGACCGGTTCCTCCCTCCCTGTCATTTAGTGGGTTTGCCTGAGACAATTACTGCACCAGCTGATATCTAGTTTCTCTTCCAAGACAAAGCTTGGAAGGGGCTCCATTAAAGGAAAAGAAGAACCTCAGTGAAGCAGATGATAGATTTATAGAATCAGCATGCATAAAACCCACCACAGAAGTAACACACTTGCTTAGATACACAATGCTGCATTCCAGAGATATTTGATTTCCATACCCTTTCTGTTCCTAAAAATACTTGACATTCTAATTTTTGGAACCAGCTGAAATGTTTATATTTTAAAATACACTTGACATTTTAAATGTATTTAAAATTTCCCAGATTTGAAAAAATAACAACATAGTAATCTCAGAAGTCTTTGTAAGTGGCATAAAAGATAAAAAAAAAAAAATACCACTTAAGAGTCTGAGTTCCATTCAAAATACAAACAACCCAAATTCTGTCACTTTAACTCTTTATTCTAAATTTTTGCATTAAAATACCCTAGTAATTTGTAGAATCCCTGATGATCTCAGATTAGCTCTCAGATTAGCCAGGATCTGAGCCTTCTGAGGGTAGAGAGCACCTCATAAGGCATTCTTCTGTCACATAGATGCCATCCGTTTATTCCACCTACAATAAAACTCTCAAACAAGAGTCTATATTTCTGTCGATATTTGGGCATAAACATAATAATGAGAAATCAATATGTAGGAAGTTTTTCTTCTTCTTTTTTAAAGCCATATGTTTAGAAAGGGAGGCAGGTCTTAGAAAGAGCTGTGTGAGCTCACCCATACCAGTGTGTGAAACCCTTTCCCTGGACAGAAGAGGCATACCCAGAGGCCATTTGGTATTGGAATAACTGGCACAGGAAAAGACAGTTATTAACACAGCATTCTAGCAATTATTACCCTGTTTATTGCAAACAGAAACTGAGGTTTTTAGAGGGCATACTAGCAAGTAACATTGTAGAGGACATGAAAGTGCATAGAGCACTAATGTTAGTTTTTTT